TTCTGCTGTTTATAAGCTATTGGCTTGATGGTATTTTGTTATAGCAGCCCCAGCACACCAAGACATCCTCCCATGGGCCTGGCTATGCTGAGCATCCTTTAGTTACTCAAACATGCACCCGTTTCTACTGTCATCTGCTTCTTTCCATCTCCACTGCTACCACCCTGGCCCAAGCCACCGTCATTTCTCTTTGTATTTACCTCACTAGTCTCCTCAATCACCTCCCTCCCTGTTCCTTCCCAGATCCCCACACATTATTCAAAGTGGTAATTTAAACATAAACACTCTCCTGTTGGAATCCCTCTGATAACTTCACTCTGAACTCAGAACAAGATTCCCAACTCCATAACCTAGTCCCGTGGGTGGCCTCTGCTCGGACTCTGACCTCACTACTGTGATGCTCTGGGCTCTGAGGGTCCAGCGCCTGCCTGTAAAGCACCTCTCCCGACACCTGTTCATGGATGGCTCCTTCACACAACTGAAGTCTCAGCTCAATGTCACCTCCTCTAAGAATTCTTCTGTGATCCCCGAATGAGAGCAGCTTCCTTCCAGGTACCCAGAACTGCCCCTTGTTGTTTTTACAGCACTTATCATCATCAGACAAAAGCATCTTTGTAGACACTAAAATGTGAGCTCCAAACATATCTCAGCTACCTAATCCATCTCTGCATCTCTAGCTGGCAGAACTATCCCTGGCTCATAGTTGGGACACCACAGATATATGTTGAATACATGAGTGAATGGAGTGCCAGGCACTGTGGAAAATGCCTTACAGAGATGAACTCATCATCATCTTTACAGTAATCCAGTGAAGTAAGTATTCCATTAGCTTATTTTCAAAAGAACAAATAGATGGCCCCCTGCCATGGGCCTAGTGAGGGGGAAGTCCAGGCAGTCTAGTCACAGAGTCAGTATATGACCTGAAGATACATCACACTGCTTTTCATCACAATACAGTGTCTTGGACAATATTTAAAATGATGAAGAGTAATAAAAATGTAAATCAGAAGTTAACATGTTCTACTAGCACACTAACCCCACCAAGATTACAATCAGGTGATGAGAGTGTCTGTCTACCCAGACAATTTTGAAGATGACCTTGCAGCGCTACTGTGTCCCAACCCTCTCCTTCCTCTGGGGGCTGGGAATTTTCTTTCTACAGTCTTTGTATGGGGCACTCCAGTTTTAGAAAAGTAAAAATGTGAAAAAAAAAACATTTTAGAGGTAAGGAAATACAGGTTTTGACAAAAATACTTGGTGAAATATAAAGTGCAAGAAAATATAAAGAATCCGAAACATTACTAAAAATAACAATGCAGGACTGGGCACAGTAGCTCATGCCTGTAATCCCAGCACTTTGGGAGGCCAAGGAGGGCACCTCACCTCAGGTCAGGAGTTCAGGACCAGCATGGCCAACATGGCAAAACCTCATCTCTACTAAAAATACAAAAATTAGCTGGGCGTGGTGGCAGGTACCTGTAATCCCATCTACTCGGGAGGCTGAGACAGGACAATCACTTGAACCCGGGAGGCAGAGGTTGCAGTGAGCCAAGATTGTGCCACTGCACTTTCAGCCTGGGTGACAGAGTGAGACTCCTTCTCAAAAATGAATAAATAAATAAAAATAACAATTCAGATAAGATAGTACATTTCAATTATTATTACATGATATCACATTGTTGGCAGCCTATGTATTCTGACTTTGAAAGGGTAAGATATGAGGCAATAACACAGGAAATATGACACTTCTTGTCTTAGCCCCTGACCATCTTATGGCAATTCATAGAGTTATATATTTTTTACAAAATCACAGTTCTTCAGTTATATTCCTGAAAAAATTAACTGATCCTCATTTTCCTATTTCCCCTCTACCTTACCTCCATCACTACCTACTTGTAATACCTGTCTCCTTTTCTCAAACTTGCTTTGAGTTAGATACATTGCCAATCATCTATAAATGAAAAGAAGAGTTCAAGAATTGAAGTAAAGCTATATAGGGAGGAAAATAATATCTTCTCTTTTAAAGCATCATATAGGTTTTTTGAAATGGCCCCAAAGATATTTCATAGCATAGATTACTGTCAACAATCACCCACAGAAGGAATCTTAATTTTCTCCATCTTTAATCTTTTTTTTTTGAGATGGAGTCTTACTCTGTTACTCAGGCTGGAGTGCAGCGATGCAATCTCAACTCACTGCAATCTCTGCCTCCCAGGTTCAAGCGATTATCCCGCCTCAGCCCCCCAAGTAGCTGGAATTACAGTCATGTGGCACCAGGCCCAGCCAACTGATGTATTTTTAGTAGAGATGGGGTTTTGCCATGTTGGCCAGGCTGGTCTTGAACTCCTGACCTCAGATGATCTGCCTGCCTCAGCCTCCCAAAGTCCTGGGATTACAGGCATGAGCCACCACGCCGGGTTCCTATCGCCCAATGAAAACTGCTCACAATGCATATGAAGCAACTTCTCAGAGTTCTCAGAAGACACAAGGATCCAGAAAACAGTGCCTACAAAATAACTGTCCCTCACCCAGACAGTGATAAAAGGTGCCATTGAAACACTTAATTTCCATAAGAATCATCATAGTGGAATATAGGTAGGTTTCCTTATCATTGCTTTTCTCTGTTGGAAACGTTGTACATTAATGCTTCCGTCAGCATGTGCTTTAATATTTAAAACTCTTAACACAAGTGGTAAGCAGAGAAACTAAGTACAGTTTATGTGCTCAGGCCACTGTGATGCTCCAAGATTGCTGGTTTAAGTCCATTTTCTGGGCTGTCTAATGGAAAAGACTATAAGCATGCCCAGCTTCAATGAACTTGTCCACTGGCCGCAGTTAAATAGGTGACACTGGCCTTGCTCCCTTGGACATGGCCCTCCTCAAGATGCCTGTCTTACCCTCTCAGGTGGTTATTGTCTTTCCACTGCCACTGACTTTTCTAGAGAGCAAGATGCCAACTTCTTTCATTAGAATATAATGTTTTTTAAATTTAATTTTAATATTTCCTATAAGACACATTCACTAATAATCCACCCCCATAATTACCTGTGACCTCAAAAGCTCACCTAGGTATGCAGTGTCACCATTAGGCTCTTTTTTTGCCAGCAGGGATAGAAATGGAGGTGAAAAGTGCACCAGGAAGGCATTCAGGAAGCTTCTAGGCTGCACTCTATGCAAATTTGAAAGCAAAAAGTTTAACAGTCAGTTCCTTGAGCAAACAATTAATTTATCTTCCCTTCATCATTCTTAGATTGTCAGGATTTACCTGATTTAAACTTTTCTCTGCTTCAGCAAGCCAGTGAGTCACATTTATAAGGATAAAGTTACAGAGATGCATGGATACTAGTTGTGTGTATGTGTGTGTGTGTGTGTGTGGTGAGGCTTACACAAGGGCTTCATTGTCTAAAAGTATGTTTTAGAAAAACACACGATAAAACAGTGTGCTGTGTCTAAGAATGAGTAATTCACATCTTTAAACAAAACAAAACATATACATTTGTCAACACCACTGAGTGGGAGACACTGAAGTGAACCCGAAACAAATCAGTTTCTGTGAAGGACACAGTCTCATCTCTGTAAAGACCAAGTGATTGATTTAGGAGTGAAAAAAGGTAGTTGATTTTTATTACACTTCCGGAATTGAAAAAAAAAAGCTAACAAAAGAGAGCCACAATCCTGTGATAAGTAGTGCATCTGAGAGAGAATGTCAGAGGGTTTGCTGATACTGCACAAGATCCATCTCCCAAGAACAATGCTACTGGGTGTATTCTCTAGGGAGAGAGGTTTGAGGTCACCTTCAGGTATTTCCGGAAAAAATGTGGCACCTCATTGTTAAAGCCTCTGTCTACAAATGGCTTTCATACTCCCAAAACCATCTTGCATGTTCTTCACATGTACCCCAAAACCTAAAATGCAATAAAAATAAAATAAAATAAAGTAAAATAAATAATAATAAATAAAAATATATATATAAATAAATAATAAACATTTATAGAACTCTCCACTTAAAACACACAAGATATGCACTCCTATCAGTACCACATCACACCTACTCACAGGTTTAAATGAAATATTGGTTGGCCATTATTAAGCATGATTAATGATATAAGGAAGGTTTACAATATCCATTTTTAGACTGCATTCTAGCCTAGGCAACTAAACAACACTCCCGTTCTCTCTCCCTCCTCCTCTTCCTCTTTTTTACTCTTCTTCATTCCCTTTTTTCTCTTTCTTTCTTTCTCTCTTTCAAAAAAATAAATAAATATATAAAAAAGGTAAATTCTGTAAATAATTTTCTCCAAAATTATAGGTCAATTAAAAACTTCAGAGTACAGTGTGCATGTCAATAGTTGCATATAAATGAAAGAGAACAATGGGAAAATGCAATTTTTCTAAATTTAACTTTTGGCTTTTAAAGCTATAAACACCACTTGTAGAGAAGAGAATAACATCCCCTGTGATTGAACACTCAAGCAAAATGTGAGGGGTGGAGATAAAGTTCCCTTGGAACTACATTTTCCAAACCATATTTGATCTTCTCTAAACAACAACAACAACAAAAATGGTACTTTTTACAACCATTCTTTCATTTAATTCTTGCATACCCCTTGAGGTAGTTATTTGTTATTCTTACTTTAGAGATGGGGAAACTGATCATTGAATAAGGTCTGCCATTTCCCCAAATCACATTGCTAATAAAATCCTTGTGGTTTTGCAGTTACATCACCTGTATATTTACTTATATTCTGCCAAAATGGCCTGCTGGCATTATTTGCCATGCACTTTCATGTTTGTGTCCTCTACCTTATTCCACAAAGTTGAGGAAGATGATTGAAAATCTTGGAGGAAAAAAATCCTGTAACATATTCCATTTTTTTCTCTCTTGAGTGCTTTCTGGAAGCATCTATTCAACAGAGGGGGGATTGTTATGGAAACATGGGATTCACAGTGTACAGCTTTGTGACTCAATTTGTTCTCTTCTTTTGCGACTCTCAGATAGGATTTCAGATAAAGAGCACCTCGTCAAGGCTAACCGAAAGGGCAGAGCTGGCCAAGCTGAGTTCTTTTCTGCATAATGACAAAGCAGTGGTAGAACATGTGAATTAAGTCAAAGGTATGAACAAAATATGTCTTCCACAGACTTTTCTCAAAGAATGCATCTGCCCTTGAGCCACCCACTGTCCGGAGCAGCGCTTTTCATCTTCTCTCTGGACATTGCTGCAAGAAATGCAAACTGTTTAGAGATTCTGAAATTGCCTTTCTATCTATAGAAAGCTCTGCATCACTTAAGACCAAGAGAAAGGCTTGACCTCCACCACCCACCAGACTGCTGAAGTTACTCTATGCTGACCTGGCAAAAACGAGGTAAAAGGTAGAGCCCTTGCAGCCTAGTTGAACAATTTCTGTATAAGAGACAGGGGTGTGTGTGTGTGTGTGTGTGTGTGTGTGTGTGTGTATGCAATTCTAGGCCCCATTTTTTCTATCACTGAGCTCCTGTTGTAGTTATTTATTTTTAATTAATCTATTAAATTTTAAAATCAGTCTACACTAAGTTATTAACACCAGAAGGTAGAAATTATTTCATGTTTATTTCTGCATCTTCAGGCTTAAAATGAGACCAGCATTCAATAAATGTTTGTTGGAAGGTAAAAGGGAGCTAGAAAGAAGGTAAAGAAAAGAAACTGTTAGGAAATACACATTAACGGCAGAAGGTGACAAAGTCTGTGATAAATAATTGTTTGAAAATTGTAATATAGAAATTCCTAAAGTTATTTTTTGATGCATGGTATAAATATTTCATTGCTTCAAACGTCAGTAGCATTGGGTATGAGATAGAGTTTACTGATTTATTTATTCCAGATAGAAAGGTCCACACTATCCCAGGCCCCATTGCAAGCACTGGGGACAGAGTGAGGGAGTAAAACAGCCAGGTCCCTGCTCTGACCAAAACTTTGAATTTGTTGAAATGACATAATCAATAAGGAAATGTACCAATAGACAATGGTGTGCCTAGGAGTGTGCCAAGGAGAATGCAAAGGCAATGAGACAGAGATCAGCTGTAGTTAATGGTGATTGTGGGGAGGTGAAAAGGTGGGGCTACTGTAAATAGGGTCACCAGGAAGGCCTCGGGAGTCAATGTCTTTGGAAGAGAGTGATAAGCAGAGAGCATGCAATATCAGAGGTATTTGAGAGACGAGTTTTATGGGAAAAATCAAAGGCTCTGAGGAGCACAGTTGGGGGCTCCAGAGTAGGGCAAGCATGCCTGGGGCAATGTGGGTGAAAGAGAAGATTAATTAGAGATAGGGTCAGATCATAAGGGTCACGGAGGCTGTGGTAAAAAGTCTGGAGGTTCATATTCACCTTGATATTCTTTCTCACATAATTATCATCTGATCTTATGAGAAATTTTTCCTTTCAAATTTACAGCATTCATTTACATGTTTCCGTTACTCTAACTCTTGGGGACATCTCTGGAACAGTCCTTCTGTTGAGATTCTTGAAGGAGACACCAAATATTCCAGTGGGTGTTATTCCTGCCCCTACAATTGGAGTATTCCACCTCAGAGTGTCACCCAGTAACTCTAAGCATCTTGACACCTCTACAGCTTTGCACGTATGCAACTGCTGCTCCTAAAAGATAAATTAATATCCAGTCACACACTTCCCTAGAGAGTGTTTCATGGAAATTTTTGTTGAATAAATAAATATTAAATGCATGAAAGACTGATGGAAATTACTGTAAGGCAAGTACCTAGCTCCCCTAGTAGCCATAGAAAAAAGTTATGCATGGAAGTTAAGACTTCCCAATTTATTTAGAAAAGGATTTTCTATGGGATGTTGAAATAGCAACAGAACCACTTGGAAAAGCTGCAAAGAAAATGTCATATTTTAGGAATAAATTTTATTTGATAAATAACATTTTGAAATGCCCATTTCAAGTATCTGGCTGAAAAACTCTTGAGACAGCAAATAATGCAGGAATGCTTTTAGCTACTGTCCGTTCAGCCAGACTCCTTTGAGCTGCTTTCTCCAAGAGAGCCTCTTTGTTGGTTGCTGTGACCTGCTCATCACATGGACTCCATTTGGAAGCTTGGCTGGGGTAGTCATCACGAATAATAATGGCAAGGAGCACAACGGCCAGTTGGAAAGAGGAAGGAGATGGAAATGGAAAACGGGAAGGTACAAATGGTCAGGCTTCTTCCCGCACTGGACCCCAGTAAGTAGTGTGAAGGCCACATTCGATAAACTAGAGAGTTGATGATGAGGCTCTCATAAGAGCCGTCTTTTTTTTTTTTTTTTATATTTCTTATTACATAGTTAATAGACATGCATGCGTTATGGAACGCAAGTGTTTTGTTATGTTTTGTTTTGTTTTGTTTTTTGCCATTACTGTTTTACAGAATTAGGATCACGCTGTATACAGAACCCTCACCTAATAATTTAATATAATAATTTACCCCATGTAATTAAATATTGACCTATATTATCTTAGTGATTTTATGGAATTGTAGACATTTATTTATCTGGTTGGTTTTTGCTGAATAATTAGATTTTGCTGTTATGCATTATACTAGGTAAAGAATCTTTGCACACATGTCTAATGATTTCATTAAAACCTATTTCCAGGCATTAAGTTTTTTGTGATGGTAAAATATTGGCCCATTTTGATAATTTTATTTCTAGGTACATGCATAAATAATATGTAAATATATTCTAAATACATAAAAATACACAAATTATAAATACATAAATCTAAACATATAAATTCTAAATACCTAATTCTCAATAGACAAATAAAATTTAAGTATCTAAATTATAAATACATAAATCAAGTAAATCTTGATTGTTTATACAAATAATGTTTTAGGCTGAAGAACAGGCAAATAAATCTACAATGTACATTGAGAGAACAGGGGGATAAGCTTGCCTGGGCCCTGCTCTGGTGGGGCTGACTCATCAATGAAACGATGTAGCTTATCAGCAAGGAAACACACCAACAAAAATGACATCAGATGGTTCTCGGCGTCCTGAAGGCAATAAAAATCAGAATATTGTCCAGTAAATCTCTAGATTGAGTATACCAACATACATGTATACCAGGTATAGGCAAAGGTGCCCATTGCCCAAACTTTAGATGATCACATTTAAAATATTCACTTATTATTCTAACTTAAATTTCTTTTGTCATTAATGAGGTCATTTAAATATATGTAAATATATACATATATTTACATATATTTATGTATGTATATATATGTATGTATGTATAATATATGCATATATATGTATAATATATACATATATATGTGTATATATATATATATAGCTATTTTTGTTTCTTTTATTGTCAATTACCTAGTTGCATCCTTGGACATTTTTCTATTGTGTTGATCACCTTTTCTTCCTATTGGAAGAAACTGGACATCTGAAGCTAGGTAAAGTCTTCTCTCTCCAATTTCCCCAGGTATCTGTCAAAAGGAGGAAAGGTTTTCATCACCTTCAAAGAGACCCAACATCATCCCTTCCAGGATTTGGTCTCATTACCATCTGTCCTTAGGAAGCCAGAGACAGGAAGCCAGTAAACAGCTGATGAGGGATCTGGGAAACAGTGGGAAGAGGGGCAAGGGCTTTTTGTGTAGAAGGCGCAAGAGACGTCTTTACACAACCATCCATGCCTCGTGCTTTTATTCAGTGAACATTCATTAGAGACCGGGCGAAAGCTGGAGATGTGCTGATGAAAAAGTCATGGAAGAACCTGTCTGTAGGACAACCTAGTAGGAAAGACTGACAAAGTAGAGAGGCAATTATATCCAGTGCAAAAAGTACTTGTCATGGTCAGGATGGTAGGGGACTCATGCAAGGAGCACTCCCCTACATGGAAGGTCAGAGAAGACATCGGATGCTGTATCTGCAGGAAACAAAGATTGAGAGGCCAGGAGGGGCACCTCATGTAATGGATCAATCATGGGCAAAGGCCTGGGCATGGAGGTGATCAAAGCCACTGAGGAAACTGTGAATGAGCTGCAAGTCATTTATTGTGGCTGGAAACTAGCACAAGAAGAACAAGAGTGGGAGAAGATGAGACTGAGCAAGTGAGCAGGGAAAAGATGATGAAGGTTCCCATGAACCAGGCTGAGGGCTGCGGCCTGGGCACAGTGATCATCTGTATTTACTCCTGGCAAACATCCCCTGTCCTGCTGAGCACGGATGGTAGCAGCAGATTAGGTGCATTATTGTAGAGTTCAAGTTTTTAGACTAGTATAATAGTTTAGTTTTTGCTACTGCTTAAGTTATCTTGAAGTTCTAAAATAACCTCTTGACATGTCCTGAGGAATAAGCCAGAAAGATTGAACTCTAGCTAGGCTCAAGGGTAAACTTGAAGCTGTACCTAGGTGCCATCAAAAAAAATTCTCACTGGTATCTTGAGTTTCTGTACGAGAACTGGCCAGACTTAAGTTCTGATGTTGCTTCAATAAAGAGCCTCAAAACCTTTTTCCTGAAATCAGGAAATGCAGAGATAAAATCCAGCTCAAATTTGGCCAAGCAACACATATTACTTCAATGGCTTGTGAACAATGATGTCACTACAAAATATAATAATAATTAATCTTGGGGAATTATCTTTCATCAGGAAGTTAAAACTGCACATGTTTTTAGTACACATTTTTTGAAGCAGGGATGGTGAGGAGCAGAAAAGAAACAAAATGAAGGGAAGGAAGAAAGAAAAAAATGGAAAAAGAGAATGTCTGTCTATATGTTTGTATTTAATCATGGCCAGGTTGGAATAGCACAAGCATAACATTTGGACATTTTCCACAATCCTCAAAGAACAGAGAATACAACAGGGGATCCCCTTACCACACCCTGGGATTTAAGTGAAACTCACAAATCTCATAAGTAATCAGAGGGTCTCATTCCAAAAGACTTATGGTGTTCTACCTACTGAAGATGAACTTGTAATATTCAGTTGGATTCCTCTGTTAGATCAGTGGGGAGGATTTACTGTAGTTATTGGGAGATCAGCTTATTTTAGAACTTCAGTATTCTCCACCAAATTCCTTTGAGTCAAAGGGAAGTGACACATTAACAGGAAGAAGTCCTCTTGTAAATCTCTTTCAGCAAAGACTTGCTTTTCAAAAGGCTGATCACTCATGCATCTCTCACTGTGTGGGTCAGTAACTATTTCAAAATAAATCTAATCAAAAATACTTATCATCCTAAAATCATCTTCTATGAGAGATACTCACAGAAATGACTCATGTTGGGCTTTTTTGATTAGAAAAAAGACACTCACTAAAATTGCCTCAGAAACAAGGTGTTTCTCATACGGCTCTGCAGGGAAACAGGATATCAGGAAACTCATCCATGTGGAACCCAGACTTGGATAAGCCAAGCATCTAGGATTTATGGGGAAAAGGTGAATGCAAGGAACTGGGACCAGATGATTTGAAGACCTGTTTAGCTCCTTCTGTTTTCTGTGGCAGGAATTTGTCAATAATTTTTCTAGAATTCTGCTATTAGGGTTCTGCTGCGAGTCCTCTCTATATTTCCTTACTCCTGTTTTTCTATCCCTTTCTTCTTTTGCTACCAATATACTTCATAACTTCTTAAAGGAAAATCTGATTCGCTACTTCTGTTACACAGAATGATATTTTAAAAGCCCCTGCCTAGAAGAAAATTATATACCCAAACATACACACATATCAATTAATAAAATATCCGTTGCATGTAATAATCACAGCTAAGACTTCACATTTGTGAGTTATTTTGAAAACAATTGCATGTAGCTTCCCCTATAAAATTTTGTAGAGAATAAACAAACAATCGAGTGGATACCTTTGGAATCCTAGTGATTCTACAAACACAAAATCAAAGTTGTTAACAATATTTTTTGAAAAAAAGCAAAAACAGTGTAAACTCTATCTTCCAAGTCACTACATGAGGCATGACAAGAGATTGGCCAAGCAGGAGTGGAGGTTACCCTGTCCTGTTCTGCCCACTCACTGAACTGCGGAACCCCGCCCCCACCCCCGAGCTCCCTGGGCATGGGCCTCCTCAGTCCCAGCCTTGGCAATGCATAAATCCTTGCAGGATGATGAGAGCTTGACAGCCACTCCTGATACCATAAACTTTAAAATGCTGAGCTGTTGAATCCCAAGGGTGTGTTATATTCCCAATAAAATCAACACTACACTTTAGAGGTTGTTAAATAACTGTCCCAAATGTGATTGTATTTAGTCCTAAATTGTGTTGAATAGTTTACATCCAGTATTGGAATGGAGCTGGCTTATAGTCACTGGGAAACCTCCATTGAAGATGCAGCCTTACAAGTGACAGTGAGATTTGGATCGGCCAGGAGGGGAAGGGAGAGCATCCTAGGAAAAGGCATGGAAGAAGAAATGGGTCTTCGGAGAATGTTGAGTGGGTGGAGCACAGTCAATACGGTGAGGTTTGAATTACAGTGCTTTATACAATCACACGGGAATCTGGAAGAGTCCAAATAATGAAGGCCATTGGACAAATGGACAAATCTAGTCTTACTATGGTAAGCAGCAGAGGGCCATCGTAGATGTCTGGACAGAACATCACATCTGTGTGAAGAAATCCTTAAATGATCGCATAGCTCCACAGTAAGTGGGTTTCTTCAGTAAACATCTAGAACTGGCCGAAGTCTAATGTTCCTTTAACTCTTCTAAATGCAAAATCTTTTAGTTGCAATTTAGAGCGACATTTGTATGATTCTCTGGGAAGCTCAAAACT